TAAATTTTCATGTCACATCTTGGCTAATTGGCTTTTCTAACAATAGTCTAATCTAAATATTCTTCTAGATGATTAATTTGCTTCTGGAGCTTAATATTTCCCTTACGCATTAAAAGAGAAGCATACTGAGGTCATCAATAACACTCAAGCTGAGAACTGAACAGCGGGTAGTCTTACTGGTAAAGGCATGAGTGTGGATTTGAGTGTATTTTAGGCAGTTTCAGGACACAGAGTGATGTGCTGAATACCCCCTACATCCATCCTCTGCTAAGTGATGAGTCATGGGGACATAACAAGCACTTCTCTGTAGCTAAGCTAAGGCTCCATTTACACGGACACGGCGGAGGGAAACGTAGGTTTTTTCTGATGTAGATTCGAGGAAAAAATCCACATTGACACGGAGCACATCAGTGTTTACATGTAACCAGGAACCACCCTCCGAATCTGTTGTAGTTGCCATGCCAGGTTGGGGCTGTGAATTTTGTACACTCACCTAATGTGCATGCACACTGCCTGGGACAGCTGTCTGTAAGGTCCTTCCTCTGGGTTTAAAGCCCAGTAATAGCAAAACTTAAAGCTTGATTTTGGATATGAATTGACGGACCTGACGCCAAGCAGGACTGCTTTGTCTAACAGCTCCAGCTCGACACCGGTCACAGAGAGAACCAGCACTGATGAGGAAGATGTCAGACTTCCCAGTCTGGTGATAATCAGTAGCCGTCGAGCAATGCTACAGCAGGTAAATCAACATGCTTAATAATCCAACATTTTTCAGTCAGGTCATCTGGATTGAGTTAAAAAAAATCCGATCTCACAACAGGAAATGAACCTCCGAACTGGAAATGAAAATTCAAGTTACTGAAAGTTCAGTAAATATTTGAAAAGTTCACAAAATGCAAAAATGGACCGTTTCTATTACCCAAATTGCCTAGAATGGAATCAAATAAGGAGGATTTTTTGGAAGCAGACTACAACCAACAAATAAACAATAATTTGGAAGAAGGATCAAGCCTACTGTCATCCTTCCACATCTATGGAGAATGCTGCTAACGCTAGCGCTGGACAGCTGGAGAATGGAGCCAGCACGTTCAGCTACCTTTGGGCAGCAGTTCCCGGCGAGTCCTCTTCGTGGTCTATCCTGGTCTGATCCACCAGCAGAACCCCAGAAAGACGAGTGGTGCCCTCCACTCTGACTCGGTAAGGAGCAGAAACTGCCTCTGGTTATGCCATTTTTAGCTGAAACAACTTGATAAATCTTTTCCTGCTTGCAGTGATAATAAATGACTTTATCTGATCACATTAAATAACTTCTTTCAACAAAAATCCAAAGTAAACTATTTATTAAAATAGTCAAACTTTGTCTAAATTCATGCACGTATGTATAAAACTGAAATAATTCCTGCTCAAAGAGTCAATTTCGTCTTAGATAAGAGAATTAAGCCTCAATTGATTCATTATTATTGTTTGTTTATTATTGTTGTTGATTCTTAGTTTGATTACTTTTGTAAAAAAACTTCAAAGACAAATTTGGTCTCTTCATTTACATGAATATTTATTTGTTCTGGTATATAACTCGCTGTAATTAACAGATTCAACTTCAGTGATTGATTCTGATCATTAAAGGGTGAATATATTAATGAAGTAGTTGTTGGTCAGTAAACGGACCAGCTGGTGTCCCTCTTTAATGAATGAAAAACAAATAAAACAAATGTAGTGGAGCTGAGATGGAAAAGGTGTCACCCTTCTTCCTCCATCCCACCCTTCGTTATGGCTACAAGCTTCTATCCTGAGGCTGTTAGACTCATGGATCCCTAGTCAGGATTATCACCGTGAAAATTACTGTAAAAAAAATCACTGTAATGCCACTTGATTGTTGATATGTGCTGCTGACTATCCATGACGCTGATTTATTTCATGTTGCTGCGTTCATTCATCTTCATCTGCTCACTTTGTGCTGCTGTTGTTTGGCACATTGTTTCGTACTAGTAGTGCTTAGTGGAGTCTTAGTTTAGTGTATTTCTTAGTTCATGTCTTAGATCTTATTATTGTTTTTCTTTACAATTTGTATTTTTGTTGGATGTAACTGGGGCCCTGTGTACATTCCACCTCATGTACCATGATGTGAATGACAGTAAAGACACCTTGACCTTGAGAACTGAAAGAACAAATGATCCTTCATAGCACCCTCAGTAAAATGCTTAGCCCCCCCCCCCACCCCCCCACAAAAAAAAAAGCACCTGCAGAAAAATATCTATGGAGCCACCATTGACTTACGCACAGTTTTCAACAAAAAGAAGTAGCAATTAAATCTGACAACTCTGATTTTACATCAGACACAGCATTACTGCAGTTAGCCGGGAGAATACAAATCTCTATCAAAGGTTAAATGCCTATCGTTTCTATCGTATGTATTGTGCATGCCTACTCTGGACCCTCTGTTTTCATGTCTTGAGGACATAAAATCTGGATGACTGTGAACTTCTATCCATCCATCCATTATCTTTTACCCGCTTCTTCCTTTTTTGGGTCACGGGAGTCGCCGGTGCCCATGTCCAGCAATCATTGTGCAAGGGGCGGGGTACAACCTGGACAGGTCGCAAGTCCATCACAGGGACGCATAGAGACAGACAACCATTCGCTCTCTCACTCACACCTAAGGACAATTTAGAGTTACCAATCAGCCTAACATGCATGTTTTTTGTCTGTGGGAGGAAACCGGAGCACTTGGAGAAAACCCTCGCATGCACGGAGCGAGCATGCAAACTCCACCCAGAAAGGTTCCTGGACCAGGATTTGAACCGGGGCAACCTGCTCGCTGAGACAGCAGCTCTACCAACTGCGTCACCATACTGCCCGGCTGTAAACTTCTTAAAGTTAATGAGGAAAAGACTGAAGTGATGGTCTTTGGAAGCTCCACTGAGACCCCCTGTGTCAATGTTGTTTCCTTGGCTCAGTATATTAGTCCAACTATTACAAGAGGTTAAAGTTGATGCTGGACTAAAGTTAGAAAGTCACATCAGAGCAGTTGTTAAATCTTTTTTTTCCCATCTGAAGCAGCTAAATTAAAACCAATTCTTTCTCAGCGGCATTTTGAAACGGTAATCCACACCTTTGTGACCACTCAGCTGGACTACTGTAACGCACTCTATACAGGAATCAGTGACACGTATCTTTCGCCTTCAGAAGTAACAGAATGCTGCTGCACGGCTCTTAACTGGCACACAAAAGTTTGACCATATTTCTCCTGTTTTAGCCTCTCTGCACTGGCTGCTCGTACATTTTAGGATACATTTTAAAATTATTTTATTTGCTTTTAAAGCTTTTAATGGACTTGCCCCGCCCTATCTGTTTGAGTTGCTACATCCATACACACCCTCTCGATCCCTCAGGTCAGCTGATCCTGAGGTCAGCTCCTGACTGTGCCAAAGACAAAGTTGAAAATATGGAATAACCTTCCCTTGAACATCAGACAAGCCTCTTTCCTGTCTGTTTTTAAATCCCTTCCTAAAACCCATCTCTTCTCCCTGGCCTTTGACACCATCTGTGATGTTGACTTTTAATTATTTTAATAATTGTAATTATTTTAATCATTTTATATTGACTGATTGTATGATTGTTATATTATGTGTACAGCAATTTTGTCCTATGGGGATTTAAAGTGCTTTAAAAATAAAGCTGGTATGGTATGTTATGGTATGGTATGTTATGGTATGGTATGTTATGGTATGGTATGTTATGGTACGGTATGGTATTGTACAGTATGGTATTGTATGGTATGGTATTGTACAGTATGGTATGTTACGGTTAGGGTGTGCTTTCTTGCATTTTTAATTCTATTTTGTTTTGCATGAGGCATGTGTTAATGTGATTCTGTACAATACTTTGGTCTGCTGTGGTGTATAAAGTGTTTTACAAATAAAGTTGGGTTGGATTGAATAGGAAAAACACTCCCAGATGTGTGAGTTGAAGGTCGCATGGATTGGGGGCTCTATCAGACATTCCCAGTTTACCCTCACTGTAAATTTGGGTTTACTAGGTCTCTCCAGCAGCCTTCCTCACCACCAGTTCCATCTCAGAACCTGGTGGTGATCAGTTGACAGCTCTGCCCCTCTATTCATCACAGTGTCCAAGACATAGGGCCACACTTCAGACAAGATTACAAAATCAGCCATCAACCTTTGGCCTAAGGTAGCCTGGTAAAAGTATAATTGTGAACCACATTTTCATTGAACATGGTGTTTGTTATGAACAACCCATACTGAGCACAGATGTTCAGTAAGCAAACACCCTTCAGGTTCAGATCAGGGAAACTGTTTCTCTCAATCACCCCCTTCCAGATGACTCTGTTATTGCCTGCATGGGCATTGAAGTCACCCAGTAGAACAAATCGGTTCTTCTCATCCAGAACATTTCATTGCGCTGTTGACCTTGTGTTAACCTGTATACGACAAATAAACAACATAACATAACAAAACTTGTACCAGGTCATTATTCAGGTAAATAATTTTATGTAGAGACAATAGAATATGACCACGAACAGGTGCTAAAAAACATGATCATATCCCTCCAGTTTTAACAGATTTACACTCTCTGTCCATTAATTTTGTTGTTTGTTATTTTACTCTCTTTTCAAGTTTAAATGATTCGGCTCCCAATTTTTTTTAACTTTTAATTGACTTTGTAAACCCAAAACACACTGAGATCCTTCAGTCAAATGTTCTTAGTGCAACCAACGGCTAAAAATAAAGCCCAGAGGGATTGGGCTTTTGCAGTGGCAGACCCCAAAATCTAGAACAGACTTGCCACTTGATATTCAAACTGCAGAATTGATACAGTCTTTTAAATATTGCCTGAAAACTCACTTATTTCATTTCAAAATGTTTCCTCTTCTAGTGGATTAGAAAGAAATTCAAATCTAAAAGCCAAAATAAATATCACCATGGATGACTGCCAAATAATTAAACTCTTCTGGTCTTTCTCTTTTCCTTCACTGCCTCCAGGTGAGTGGGATCAATGCATCACTGAGCAAAAATCGAGAGCAGCGTGTGCTGTTCATGGTGGTGGTCATGGTGATCTGTTACCTACTGTGTTGGCTTCCATATGGGATTATGGCCCTGTTGGCAACCTTCGGACCTCCAGGCCTGGTCACACCTGAGGCAAGCATCATCCCTTCAGTGTTGGCTAAAACCAGCACCGTTATCAACCCAGTCATCTATGTCTTCATGAATAAACAGGTGAGGGCCAGAGAAGGACTGAAGCTGGGCTTTAAAGTATGCATAAATGAATGAATGCAATGGTGATTTTATGTGTTTAAATCTTGTAGTCTGAAAAATATTTTGCCTTTAAAGTCCTGAAGCAGTTGGCCTGCAATGAAGGAGTTGGAGTTTCAAGTTCACCAGTATGCAGTCACATGTTGAAATGTCTCTGAACCCCTCATTGCCATATGTGTCTCGTTGGTGTACTTTAAGGCTCCATTTACATGGACACAGTGGCTTAGTTTTTTTCGGATGTTTATTTGAGGAAAAAATCTGCTTTGACACAGCACATTTTCTGTGTTTACACGAATCCCCCAAATCTGCTGTAGTTGCCATGTCAGGTCCTTAGTTGGTGCTGTGATTTTTGTGCCTAATGCTGTCATTTCTAACCTGGGCCCGTGCCCGACCCAGCCTGACCCAAAATTTGGGTCTGGCCAGGCCAAAATAATGTGCTGGATGGGCGGGCCAAGTCGGTGTCAGGCTTTTGATTGCGTCAGCGGATGCGAACAGCTGACGATCCAATTTAGGTCACCAGCTGCACACAGCCGTTTGACCGCGCACTGTCCGGCCAGTTGAAAGAAGTAACTGCTGAGCGGACCAGAACTGAAGAGGATGATGTCGGACTTTCTACTCCGGTGATAATCAATAGCCAATTTACAGCAGGGAAATGAACATTCTTAATAATGTTAGCTTGTGTTTAGGTACTTTGGTTACACAACAACCAATGAGTTTTTATTTCTCCTGCAAGGAGAAGCTGTCCTCCCACCAGAGGTCAAGGTCAAGGTTCTTTATTGTCATTCGCATCACATGTTGTACATGTGGTAGAACAAAATTGTGTACACAGACTCCCAGATACATCCAACAAAAGTATAATTATAAAAGAAAAACAGTAATAAGATCTAAGATATCCATCCATTATCTTTACCCGTTTATTCCATTTTGGGTCACGGGGGTCGCCGGTGCCCATGTCCAGCAATCACTGTGCGAGGGGCGGGGTACACCCTGGACGGGTCGCAAGTCCATCACAGGGCCACATAGAGACAAACGAGACAAACAACCATTCACTCTCTCACTCACACCTAGGGACAATTTAGAGTTACCAATCAGCCTAACATGCATGTTTTGGTCTGTGGGAGGAAACCGGAGTACCCGGAGAAAACCCACGCATGCACGGAGAGAACATGCAAACTCCACCCAGAGGGCCCCTGGACCGGGGTTTGAACCAGGGACCTGCTCGCTGAGAGGCAGCAGCTCTACCAGTTGCGCCACCGTGCTGCCCGATCTAAGATATGAACTAAGAAATACACTAAACTAAGCTGGTGAAGATTCTCAGTCATCCAGGACATGATGAATTCAAAAAGCGTTCAATACAAAAACAACTGGACTTTATTTGTAACAGAAGACGTTTCGCTCCTCATCCGAGGAGCTTTCTCAAAT